TGCCCACACAAAACCGAAAATAACCTGTTTTATTGCTGTCTCTAATCGTCCCAGTTGGCAAAATGTAATTAAATTTATTGACAAAATGCACAAGAAAATAAAGAAACATACCGATCAGATTATTCTCGAATCATTTTGTAAGGTGAAGAATTTCAATATAGATAATAAGAGATACACCACCTTTTTCATCATGAAAATCGACTATTTTCTGTTTGAGACGTTTCGTCTTTATTCAAACTGAGGATGTCTTTTGAATAAAGACGAAACGTCTCAAACAGAAAATAGTCGATTTTCATGATGAAAAAGGTGGTGTATCTCTTATTATCCAGATTATTCTCATAGCGGATTTAAATGCAAGACATCAACATTGGGGCGATCAGGTAAACAAAACTGTCAGTAAAAAATTATATGAGAAAATAATTGAATATGATCTGGAAATACCCAATGAATTTGGAATGCCTACCTATTTTGATTCACAAGGATCTAGCAGTATTATAGATTTAACACTCCATACTGAAGAATTATTATTGTTTAGTCCAAAATGGTCTGTAGTAAAGCAGCAATTGAATCAGACAGATCATGAACTCATTAAAATTAATCTGCGCGATTTAGGGTGTAAAAAATCAATGCAGCTCATGTTACAATTCCAAAAGTAATTGTGAATAAAAACAGTAAATATTGGTGGACCCCAGGATTGACTATAAAACGAAAATTAGTGAGAAAACTTAAAAGATGGTAGAAGGAAAATCGATCACCACAGAATTACAACAGATATTTAGAAGAACAAAAACGGTTTAAAACTGATATTGAAACAGCAAAACAAGGTTATTGGTCTAAAATTAGTAAATCAATGCAACTACGAGATACAGAAAAAAATGTCGAGAAAACCTCAACAATCAATCCCTTATTTAATTGATAAAAATAACAAAAAGCTTGTGGAAAAACATGAGATAGTTCAGGCATTTATAGATGAATTTTGCGAATGTTTCATACGTAGCCAAACACTTCCGCTTGATTAGTTTAATATCTTCATCTGCAAGAATTTTAGAAAAAATCATAAGCCACAAATTAATTGCAGAATGTGAGAATTTGAACATTTTTCATGACAATCAGTTTCGATTTAGAAAAGGATTAGACACAGAGGATGCTCAGCTGTTTTTGGCTCATCCAATAGCAAAAGGTATTGATAAAAACCAAATTATATCAGCAGCATTCCTCGATGTTAGCAAAGCATGTAATAGCACCGATCCAAATCTGTTATTGACTAAACTAAAAGATTCGGGTATATCGTCGACTTTCGTCAGTTTTATTAGATCATTTTGCGAGCCACGACGAGCTTATATTTCTATTGAAAATGACATTACATCAAAAGTTAAACTATCGAGTTACGGAATTCCACAAGGAGGCTCATTATCGCCAGTCCTATTTAATATTTACATTAGATCAATTTTTAGACCTTCGCCAAATAACACTATACTATTTGATTATGCTGATGACCTGACAGTTACTGTGTCGGGAAATAAAAGTCGATATAATGTAATGAGATTAAGGTCATTCATCAATAAAATTGGAGATTCAAATTGAGAAAACACATCTAATCCATTTTAATCGAAAAAGATAAAGCCAGAATTCTCATTTAATCTATAAAGGCAGTCGAATACTACCATCGGATTCCACTAACTATTTAGGGATGATATTTGACAAAAAGTTTAAGTGGCATAAACATCTTGAGCAAATTAGAATATCAACAGCTAGAGAATTTGGCAAAATAAAGCTGATGGATTAGTCAAAATAAGCTCCAAGATGTGAAAACATTAATTGATTTATACAAAACTCGATTAATTTCAAAGATCGATTACGGTGCGTCTGTATGGTCAGCTACATTAGCAAAATCATCACTAAAAATAATCGAAAAAATTCAGAAACAATATTTGTCCTATGCTGTCGATTCATTTGAAATCTCATCACAAGCCATGGAAGCTGAATGTAGAATATTACCGTTGAGATTACATCTAAAAATGAAAAGACTGAAAAAAGCAGCGTCGATTAAATCAAAAGGTCTTTTTAACCCATTACGAAAAATCATTGTGAAATCAAAATCATGCCCATTGACAATAATGAACAATGAAATCGAATCAAGTATGATTGTTGATGAGAAATTAAAGATGTGTATGAATAATTTAGAACTAATTCCGAGATTTCAACCATCTCCACCGTCAATTATTAGTGAAATAAAGTGATCCATCTGGTGCATCAGAAAATGAACGAATACTAATTGAGCAATCTGAATCCGACGATAATCACATTTTAATGTACTCAGATGGCTCAAAAACCAATGATCTATTCTCAAGCTGCATTTTATATTCCAAAACTGAATGTAATTCGTACGCAATTATTGGGAAAATATCACTCGTCATATTTTGCGGAAATTCGAGCTCTACTGATGGTTATCGAATATGTAAAAAGCTCATTATCATCTAATAATAACATTACGATATTCTGTGACAGTCAAGGAGCGATAAGAAACATTCGTCTTTTCGAACTAATAATAATACTATTTCACCGATTAAACAACTAATCAATGAGCTACAACAACAGCAAATTGTAGTTAATATTCATTGGATTCCCGGGCATTGTGAAAGCGTGGGAAATGACATAGCAGATGAATCAGCACGATCGATTATCACTAATAGCACAGTAACAACTTCAATCACAGCAGTATATCCATATACATTAGATGAAGCATCAAATTTGATATGCGTTCATACAAAGGAATTATGGAAAAATGAGTCCACATCAACTGCAGAAATGAAATCTTATCTTGCTATCAATCCAAATTTAGACAAACCGAGAATAATAATGACTCTAAACAGACAAGAACAAAAAATACTATATCAATTAAGATCGAACACATTTGGCACAGAGACGAGAAAATACATTCAGCATGAGGTAAAATCAACAAAATGTAAACTATGTAACCATCCATTGTTGACGAGAAACCACATATTACTACAATGCCCAGTATTGATTGAGAAACGTAGACAACTTTTACAAAAACTGAGGAATAAAAAACAAATCATCCTAAATGCTCTTCTAAACAATAGTGAGGTATTACAGGATATTGCTTCCCTTGTAATTGCCCAAAGTCCTCATAGTATATCTGACATAGTTAGAGGCTAAGTTTTCCGAGCAACGTTTTGCGAGGAATCGAGTGGCAGTCTCAGAGATTCTTACAAATGTTTGTAATTCTAAATGAATGTTCGCCCTTTAAGGATCTTCCACTCAGCAAAATAAAGTTTCGTCCAAAAAATTGATTTTGAGATTTCTATATTGTTGAAGAGTCCAAAGTATTCTCTTTCCAACGCACTAACGCCATGAAAATTGGCTTTTGATGGCCTTCTGAAAGCCTCCGATTCTAAAAAATTAGTTTTTTGTTAAAATATCACTGCATATACAAAAATACATATCGCACGTGACTGTGCATACGCAAAAATCTATGATGAACTATTGTTGTATTTCTTTCCTTCTTGCTTTTCTATTTCGTAAACCTGTTTCACGTGTTTCTCAAAATCGTTTCTTACGACTATAGCGCTCCGTACTTCCAAGATGCCTCCGTCATTTTTCGAGCTAGAAATTTCGGATTGGTTTCAAAAAACTAGCGAAATATTTTTCTATGTCGCGACGTCGTTGAATTTTCCAGTTCGAGTTTAGTTTAGGACAAATGCAAACTGGTTACGATTGCTCAAGTTCATTTAAAATGTTTTTGTAATAGATTTGTAATAATTTTGATAATATAAATTAGTTTTAATTAATATTGAGGATCAGAATTAATACAGATTCGAATTCTTCTTCAGAGGTTAACGAAAAACTGTATTCTATGTGTCACTTGTCCTAACCACACGAGAAATGCATATACCCCTGGAAAGCAAAAGCTGGATTCAGTATTTGAGCTCCTTTGATACCATAAAAGGATGTTTTGAGAAAAGTGAATATACTATTAGATAGCGCGTGAAATTTTGTATAAAACTGTGTATTTCGATTTTTATCTTGACTTCATATATTGACAAATAAATCGAGTGAAATGAAGATGCCCTCAAGACCAGATTCCCAAACGCCTATATTTTTCACCATCACTAGTCCTCTCACTTTTTTGCTCTTAAAAGTATATAGATTCATAGAGAATTTGAAGCTCTATCAGAATCTATAATTACAATTTATCTTTGCACTAATAATAGCGTTGAAGTAAACAGAAAATTCTTGCTAAAACAACCGACTTTTGGTTTCTCAAAGAGGTTAATCACTTTATATTTGGATTATTCTTCCGTACATAAAAGCAAGGAAAGACCAAAGTATATAGATTGATAGAGAATTTCAAGCACTGTCAGAATCTATAGTTTTCTTTCTTAAAAACTTATTACTATAGTGACTGAATTTCGAAAAAAGGAGAAAAAATAGATTTTTGGTTTTTGTCAACTACAATACGCTCACTGGGCACTCGAATTTTTTTTTAATTGATAGATGTTAGAAAATAGGTTAATATACAGGGTTACAGAGGATTTCCAGGACTATCAGAATATCTACTTACTTTTTCAAAAGACCACTGCTTAAGATATAATCTATCTGAAGTATTAATTGGAAAAACGGTGAAAAATACAGGCGTGTGGGCATCTGATCTTGAGGGCATCTTCATTTCACTCGATTTATTTGTCAATATATGAAGTCAAGATAAAATCGAAATACACAGTTTTGTACAAAATTTCACGCGCTATCTAATGGTATATTCACTTTTCTCAAAACATCCTTTTATGGTATCAAAAGAGCTCAAATACTGAATCCAGCTTTTGCTTTCCAGGGGTATATATGTTCTCATCTCTAGAACCTTCGCTCACTTCCCAACTTGCATATCCTTCTACTAGGTTTTCGCGTATGCACAGTCATGTGCGACATGTATTTTTGTATATGCAGTGATATTTTAACAAAAAACTAATTTTTTAGAATCGGAGGCTTTCAGAAGGCCATCAAAAGCCAATTTTCATGGCGTTAGTGCGTTGGAAAGAGAATACTTTGGACTCTTCAACAATATAGAAATCTCAAAATCAATTTTTTGGACGAAACTTTATTTTGCTGAGTGGAAGATCCTTAAAGGGCGAACATTCATTTAGAATTACAAACATTTGTAAGAATCTCTGAGACTGCCACTCGATTCCTCGCAAAACGTTGCTCGGAAAACTTAGCCTCTAACTATGTCAGATATACTATGAGGACTTTGGGCATTTTCGACTGAAAATGCCTCCTCTTAGAACAGAAAAGAAAGAACAAAGACGTACAATGTGAAAGGAGTCTAACAGTAGATGACTAACGAAAATGAAGCTATCTCTGTTCTCACAAGATATATCCTGTGCGTACATTCCCGGCACATTTGACGCCTATGAAAAGAATAGAAACATTCTTTTCTAACCGCATGGGTATTCACACGTTTGATGCCGTTTCATCGTCTCGCTTTACGTTTCCTATTTTCCATCGCCTTATAGGCACATTTTTTGTTCGGAAATGCTTCACATGCACGTCAATCGAGGCAGCCTTTTGTGCTGATTATGAATACTAAATTAGTTTTCAATAAATAACATTCTGAGCTGAAAAATTGGATTTTACTTGAAACATCAAAGGTGTTTTGGAAGCCCTGTAGGTCAGTTTACACTCGTTTGGGATACTTTGGGTCAGTATTCTAGGTATAAAACCAGAAGATGAAAATTTCGTTGAGTTTGAAATTCCTCCAAAGTCTGGGAATTCATTATACTGGATATGCCCTTTCGGATAAAATGATTAACCAACCCGAAAATCTCTATTTCTTTACTTTACCTTTGTTTTATAAAAGCAAATTGATCTACTTATCTTTATTTTAAAAAAAAAGATAAACAAAGAAAAATTGCGTATGTCAGGGTATGTACTTAAAAAGATGTCTGAAACACAGAACTTTGCCAACACCTAAAAAGGATCTTGGTCAATACCGTAAATGTTTTCTAGTTATTTCTCATGC